CCGGGCCGGGCCGTGCCGTGCCGTGCCGTGCCGGGCCGTGCCCCCACACGGGACACGCGGGGCCGCCCCGGCGCGGTGTCCCCGGCTGCGGCCGGGGCGGAGCGGCTGTGCCGCCCCTTTGTCCCCTCAGCCGCTCCCGGTGGGGCCGGGCCCTCCTTCCCTCCAGCCTGCGGCCGGGAATTGTTCCTTCCCTTCAGCACCCTCAGCCCCGTGCGTGGGGCTGTGTGTGTGTGCGGGGCTGTTTACTCAGAGCGTGTTCCCATTCGCCTGGGCGTCTGCATGTGTGCGTCCAGCCCATGGATGTGTTTCCTGTCACACCTAAGTAGCGGATGCCTTCTCTCCCCTGCACATCGGGGTACCTGGAGAGCCTCACTGTGTCCCCTCTGTGCCTCCTTCCGTTCTGATACAACGCGTGGCAGTGCTGTGTATGATAGTTTAGTGTATGCTTGTTTGTGCATAGTTCTTCTGGTGTAATTAATTAATGAATAGTTGCAGCTTAAATTTTTGTGCAGTTCTCCCTGGATTAACAGTTATTTTGATCCGTGTGTTTTTTATTTTTGTAAAATGAAAGGGTAGGAGGGGTACTTTGTTAAAATATTTCTTAAATTATGGTTTATTTCTATTTCAGTCCTCAGATGCCACAGTTTTTGTTAGAATTTTGTGTGTGTGTCTGTACTTGAATCCCTCATATTTTAGATGCAACCTTAAATAAAAAAAGTCCAACATGTCCTTCCATTGGCCATCGTTGAACAAATTCAACAAGTGGACTTTGTCTTTCAGCAGTCTCACACAGGGACGCTGCCGTGGCTGTGTTTGGGTGTGTGGACAGGTGTCCAGAGCCTTCTGCAAGGTCCTGTCACAGAGAAGCACCATGAAAATGCACATCAGGAAGGATCCATCTTAAGCTTGAAAGTCCTTTTGTGGTAGCAGGCTAGGGAAAGGAGAGGGTAGGTGAGAACACCCACTGAGATGAATGAGCACCTCTTACCTCTGAGCTATTGTTGGAGACTGCAGCCCTGGGGAGAGGAGGGTGGGCGAGAACACCCACGGAGATGAATAAGCATCTCCAGCTCCTCAAAGCCCTTGTTCTAGGCTATGGCAAGGACTGCTCCTTTTTATTTGGGAATGGCCCCTTGAGGTGAATGGGAAACACCGTGAAAATGCACGTCAGGAAGGATCCATCTCTTAAGCTTGAAAGTCCTTTTGTGGTAGCAGGCTAGGGAAAGGAGAGGGTAGGTGAGAACACCCACTGAGATGAATGAGCACCTCTTACCTCTGAGCTATTGTTGGAGACTGCAGCCCTGGGGAGAGGAGGGTGGGCGAGAACACCCACGGAGATGAATAAGCATCTCCAGCTCCTCAAAGCCCTTGTTCTAGGCTATGGCAAGGACTGCTCCTTTTTATTTGGGAATGGCCCCTTGAGGTGAATGGACAATTCGCAAACACTAATAATCCTTTCTTTATAAAGATCCACCTCTACCTGCTCCATCATTCATATGCACATTTGGTTTGCCTTGAAGTTTGGTAATTGCAGAACCACAGAATAATGAGGGTGCAGTTTCACTACCCTCCTGAGCCAGTCTGTCTGGCCTAATGGCTGCCTCGATTCTGTGCTGCTCCATCCTCAGCTCTGGGGTTTTTCTCCAACCTCCCTTCCCTGTGCTGTGTTTGGGACTTGTCATGCCTGTCATCCAGATCTCTGAAGTCCTCTAAGACCATCTTTTTGATATCTTGTTATTTTTTTTAAGTGACAGTAGCAGGGAGTGGGGTCAATGGCAGCCAGTGGGTAATGTGGCTTCGGCTGCCCTGGCACAGTCTCTAATGGACATGTGGGTTTCTGTTACTCTCTTGCCCCCGTGCCTACACACTGTTGCTTTTGCTTTCTTGTTGGATTACTTTTCACCTGGATCAGATCCCTGGTGTTGATTTGTCCTGCTCTTGCACAATAGTTAGTGTTGGCAGAAGGAGTGGGAATGTGGGAGAAGAGGAAAGGGTAAGATTGTCCTGTTCAGAAAAAGGGTGGATTCAGAGTGGTTTTTGTGTTGATTATGAAACCAAACTGTCAGTTGTGTCAGCGTGACTGGAGGTGCACAGATAATTAAATCATTAATGCCATCTTCCTTAATTTTTGTGGAGCTGTCTTAAGTCTTTCAAGGTGTCCTGTTCATCATCATCATCGTGTTTGATCTGTTTTGGGGTGGGAAGAAGTCAGCTGACATCCTTGCTAATATTAGCATCCAGTGAAACTCTGCCCTTGGATCTGGCTTATTTGTTTTTTAGGGTTAGAAAGCCTAACAATTACTGTTTGCCTGGTTTTGCAATCAAATAATGAGTGAACCCTAAAAGTTCAGTTTACTTTACACTTATCCTAGTGGTGCTTGCCAACATCAACTCTTTGTGAGAGCAGTTGAGCTCTGTCTGTAATACAAAGCTGGTGCTTAGGCTTTGGAGAGCTTTGTTTCTCCTGGAGTGTCGGAGTCAAAATACTTGAACTCCCCGGGGGCGCAGGGACCGCACCCAGGTTGCAGCTCTGGTGAGGAGCAGGAGGCACAAATTCTGATGGGGGAAGGCTCCCATTCTGCCTGGCACGTCTGGGGAAGGGGAATTTGAAGGGGGTGGATGTTTCAGCTCCAAATAACTCTTCTCTTAACTTCTGTCATAAAAGAAAATGACTCTGGGTTACCAGGGGAGGGACCATACTTGTAAGTTGTATTGCTTGGAGAACTCTTAATTTCTAAGAATAACCAAAATTCCAAAATTATGTTGTCTCTTGATTTCTAGCCTTATGTCATCATTCTAGGAAGTCACCGCTGTAAAGAAATAATTTCTTATATTTTGGCATTTTACCTGGTGTCAAATAGTGAGTAAATTTATATTATGCACCAACTGCAGAAGGGCCTTCATAAGCACAGTGTGGAGAAGCTGGTTATCGAACTTCACAAGTAGATAAGATTGCAGTTGTAGGTTCAGGTGTTACAGTGTATGTTCTGCCACTGATAGAATTTAATACTTAGTATTTTTAAAATATTTACATTTATGTGACTACTTCAGGTAAGGTGCATCTTTATGAAAGCAAGCACTTACAGGGTTTTAAAAACTGGGTAAGGCCCTACTTTAGCAAGAGTTAATGTGTAGAAAAGGAGCTGACAATAAAGGGGACATGTGAAAAACATTTAAATTGCTAGAATTCTTAGTGAGTGATGAAAGGATTTCTCATCCATGCTATCCTAAGAGAGAAGAAGTGACACCATATTTCTGTTGTGGTCTTGAAAGGCAAAATATTCCTCCTGCTGCTGTTGCTGCTCACCCCCTGGGAAGCAGAGGAGCCCTGTGACGCCGCCGGCCCTGAGCGCAGCATAGAGCCTCCTTTATGAGGGATCCCGAACAGAGCCGGGCCTGTGCTCTGCTCCTGGCCACAGTGACCTCCAGAGAGCTGTGCACAAATGATGCTTGTGGCTGCTTGTGTTGTTAAGTAGCGAGTCACATACTTTGTATGTGTTGGATGATGATGAAAATGTGCTGCTACAGCCTCCCACAGCCCCATCGATACTGTGGAAACTATTGCAAGCTCAGCGGTGAAAAACCTCAGAAAAACGAGTGGGTGTTGTATACTAACCCTCATTAAAAGCAAAATTGTCCCTCTTGGTGTGAGGAGTTTATCCTTTCTGGTATTCATCATTTGGAAAGCTGTAATATAGATGGACTTGGAGTTTTGTGCAGTTTTGCTGAGACTCAGGCGTGCTTTAGCAGAAGGCAGAGGCACTTGCTGAGTCAGGTCCATTCTGGCACTCACCAGGGCACAGCAGGCAGGCTGGGTGGGTGAGAGCAGAGCAGTTGCCTGCTGCTTGTGCTGGAACTGATTATTCTGCTCGGTGCAGATAATGGGTCTCAGGTCCAGTAGTCAGTATAAAATAACAACTGAGCAAGTGCCTGTTCTGGGGGGCCTTGTGAACTTCTCTGCTTATCAAAGGTTTCACCTTGTCTGCACTGGCAGCTAAGTCATGCCCGTGAAGGAGGCAAGGTATGATGTTTGAAAGCCAAAGATGGCATCACATCACAGCCCAAGAGGATGTTTTTATGTAATGTATTTGAGTTGCTTTGATATTACAATTTTTTGTAGTGAACAGGTCATGAATGGGAATTTCCTGCAGGAGGAAAGCCTGGAGAGAGAGATGGGCCATAACAATACTGGGAGCTGTGAGCTAGAGCTGTATTTTAAGCTGTATTTTAGGGATATGAGGGGGGTCATGACCATGTCCAGACATCCCCCTGTAGCAAGGCTTTGTGGGGCCCAGCTGTATTGTCCTGTTCTTTCTAGCAGCAGTGGAACTTCTGTGCTTTGTTGCATGAGAAGCTGCCTGTCTTTTTCCAAAGCCAGCTTATCCAGTGACTCTTCCCTTTCCCTGCACATTTATAGATATAAGTTACCAGGCACTGAAAGATCCGTACAGAAAATCCTCCACAGTCACTTTCCATCAAATCTTTTTGAAATACAACTTAATTTTCTTGTTGCAGTGCCTCATCTTAACTGTTTGTTGATACAGAGATATTCAGCCAGTCAGTAAAATCAGTTTAAAAACTGATTTAAGTAAACTGTTGCAAATACTTTTACATGTCTATTTACAGGTTTAAAATGAGAAAGTTCTATCTTATTGGAAACTTTCTGGAGGGTTTTATTCAAGAATGATTGCACACAAAGTTGTATGTGTTTAGCTATACAATTTAGCTGGAGTGTAATTTTTAAATTGGCATAGCTTTGCATTTTATACCAATTTTCTTTTATACTGTATATCTCCCTGCCAAGAAACCTGCTTCCACTCCACGGATAGACTCTCTACATTCTTTTATTCCCTACTGTAATGTGAATGAAGGAAAATTATGCTGGAGATTCCATGTTAGGGTAATTAAGCTTGATTACAGATTTCCTTTTAAAAACTTTTCCAAAAAAGTCTTAAATCAAAGAAGATAAAAGAGGAACCTTGGCTACTACTTGAAATTTACATGGTTTGTTGAAAAATGATGCAGAGTGGGGGGAAATGTATTAAAAAATCCTACTGGCAGTCTTCCACTGAGATTGGGGGTTTTGTTAAGCTTCTTCTAGAAAGAAATTTGAAACAGTTACTGATTTGTACTGTCTTTCTTCATTCATCCATTCCAGTGATGCTGGTTGTTGCCAGATGGAAGGTAAAGTATCATCAGCCAGGGCTTGTGTGTGCAGTCAGTGTTTTCAGTGCTATTGCAGTAGACACAAAGCACATGCATATGGTGATGAAGCTCCAGCATTCAGCAGCTACAGCAGAATATATTCACTGTCTAGGAGTGCTTATGATGGTTCTCCCCCAGAAAGATGGATGGAAAAATCCCCTCAAGTGTAATGAGGAGAAGAAGCAGAGAGTAAGAATGTAACACAGGAGCGAGTGTGAGCCTGGTCGGTCCCATGAGAAAGACCAGGAGCCCCTGCTGTTATTCAGTGCCCTCTCCCAGCTCTGGTGTGTTCCTTGGATACTGGGCAGCTCAGCTGATCCTTCTTTGTGGCAGTTGAACTTGGAGCAGTTTTTTGGGGCCAAAGCCAGTATTCCTGTGTTTAAAATGAGTACTGAGACAAGAATGCTGCTCACCAGTCCAAGTGTCTCTAGTGGATGAGCAAACAGCTGAACAGCCTTTCAGAGCTGCTGGGCTTTACAATCTCCACAGCAAAAGGGCATGATAGAACCCTCATGTTTGCAGTTACATATCATGAAAAATCTCAGGTATTTTTTGCGATAATTGCAGGCAGTTTTCTAGTGGGGTTAAATAAAGGGAACTTTTTTTGACTGCTAATTGCAGAAAACCCTAAGCTTCTTTCTGTGTTGCTGCTTGGAAAAGTCTGTCTGGTCTCTTGACCTGAGCTTACTTCCTTTGTCCTTTGCTAAGTGCAGGCTTGCAGACTATTCTTAGTTGTTTTGCTTGGACGTTAACAGCTGCAATAACAGTGGTTTCACTTTTGTTCTATTGTACCCCATGCAATGCACCAGGATTGTAGCCCTTGGATTATCTCTGCTAGAACATCTAATATTTAAACTGTATTGCTATCATAATTTCACTATTTGACATAAACCCATATTCATATATTTGCACAAGAGTAATGCACACTGTAATGTGCATTTGACAAGCCAGGGTAGATTGAGTGTTCCAACAGGGAATGTATCCTTTGTAATCAGGAGAAAAGAGCACGGGGATTTACTCCAGGGTAAATAGACTGTGCTGTGTGCTTTCTCTCTGGCTGGCAGGAAACATTTGTAACTGCCAAATAAATTCAGTAATCAATGGTACAGTTTAAATTATGTTGCTGTAGGTGATATTCCAGAGCTATTGTAGGGAAAAGATAATAAATCTTCCAGACCTTATCTACTTGTGAAATTTAAGAAGACATTTTTGGTGTCTTAAGTGTGGCTGTAAGACATAGAAATACTCCAAAGGGCCAGATATTTATTGGCTTAATATTGAGTTCTGCATGGCTAAATATTACTATCTTAGACTTTGAGTATTTGCAGCCTACTTAAGTTGTAGAACCAGTATAGTTGAATGGAAGATGTAATTGCTTTATTTCCCAGAGTTGTTGGCAGTGCCAACAATATTAAAATATCTCAGTGCTGGCATTGCTAGCAGCTTGTACGTGCTCTCCTAACTAGGACAGCAGTGGCATTTCTGCAATCCAGCATCTTGTACTTTGTTACAAATTCATTTCATCCCTCTGCTTTCCCAACTATGGCACCATTGTGTTGCCAAATGCCTTATGTGTTTCTTTTTTTGACATTAATTGTGACATGAAATAAGAAAACTGATTTCCACTTCATTCTTTTGCTGCATTTAAGAAAACAAAAAAAAATTTTAGGATGCTGTGTCTACTATACCAAGAGAGTTATATCTTTCTTTGGCTTACAGCTGAGTCACATATTAATCTTAAAGCTAGAACAACTAAAATTTAGATGATACTTGGTTAGAAAGGTTTTGGAATCATAGATGAGCCAGGTAGGTCTCGGTTTCTGAAATGCTGTTGTTCAGTTTTTTAACTTACTTTGTCCCTAATTATACCTATGTGAATAATAAGTGGTTTAAACTCTCCTTTTTAAAACTACATGTAAAGGTTACTGTGCAGAACCTCAAGTGAAGGCTTAATAAAACACATTTCAAAAGTAATTTATTGACATCCATACTGTTTACTAAAAATAGACAAAGTAGTTTGGACTAATTTATGAAACAGGTAGCTTTTGAAAGATTCTCTTTTGTAGAACACTGCAGTATTATGATATATTGATACACATTTCCCTCTCCTGTTTTTGGTAGAAAATGATGCACCCTGTTGCCAGCAGCAATCCAGCTTTCTGTGGGACTGGCAAGAGCTCTTGCCTGAACGAAGACAATGTGAGGGCTGCGGATCAGTTTGACCTCTACGCCACGCAGCAGAGCAAGTACAGCCACGCAGTCAGCCACAAACCCATTGCCTGCCAGAGACAAGATGCCTTGAACGACCCCCACTTGCAGACCACAAGTGGCAGGAATATAGAGACAAAAGATGAACTAAAGAAAAAGAAAAACCTCAACCGCTCCGGGAAGCGCGGCAGGCCGTCAGGGACCACGAAATCAGCAGGGTACCGAACCAGCACAGGCCGACCCCTGGGGACCACCAAAGCAGCTGGATTTAAGACAAGTCCAGGCAGACCCTTGGGTACAACTAAAGCAGCAGGATACAAAGTCAGCCCAGGCAGACCTCCAGGTAGCATTAAAGCTCTATCACGGCTTGCAAATCTAAATTATACTTGTGGCAGTGCAGCTTTTCCTTACCCTATGGTGCATAACAGAGGAGTCCATGCTGCTGGTGAAACTAGCAGCAAAATCAAACAGCCTAATGAATGAAGGGAGGGAATGAGTAACTCCTTACTAATATGCTTTATGCTGATTTTGGGCATGTTTCTTGAGTTTTCTTGTAATGTTTGCTTAAGTCTGAGCTTCTAGATTTTATTCCAATAATGCCATAACCTACGGGTGCAATTAATAACTTTTACAGAATGTTGGGAAGGCTTTGGTTTAAAGAGGCTTCTGTTGATTTAAAATCATAATTTATAAGGAAGTCTGAAATGATACATTATGCCTTGGTGTCAACACTTAAGTAATGTCCACGTCCCTAGTTTTAAGTTCAGTTTCTCATAAATCTAGATGTGTGGTTGTACATTAAATAATTGAAATAAGGAGGATAGAAATTAGCTGGCTGATGGTTCATGATGTGGCCTGTCCCACAATAAGCAACTTAGCCAGTTAAGTTCTTACTTGGTAAGAAAAATTGATAAAGTGGCAAGCCACATTTTCCACTTCTGCAGGACCTTCTACAGACCTCAGATAGACTTAGAATAGACTTAAAAACTTATACAAAAAAAACCCAACTTTTTTTTCTAAAGTGATTTCCAGTGACTTTTATTTCTGGAGTTGTAGCATTAAGTGAATTTCAACTCATGCTCCAGAAACATTTTGGAAGATTTTAAAGAAAGCTGAGCATTGGTACAGTGTGTTACAGCTTCACAGCGCCTTACAAAGTTACTTTGCCATTAGGTGAGAGCTGTTCTTTTCGTTACACTGTTACAGGATTCTGCTAGGTAATGTTGAAATGCCTAGTAATACATATACCAAACCACAAATAATTCTTTGGAATTTGAAATATTTTATAAGAAATTAAGTACTGTTCATTCTAGTTAGGCACTTGATTAATATTCAGCAGTATGTTCTTAAATCTGTAAATAGCTATTTACACTGGCTTTTGCCTTTCAAATCTGTGCTTAGATGGCGACAGTTTAATAGCTTTTAAAGTAATAACCTATAATGTTTACAAATTAAACTTTTTAAATAGACACTGTTGCCAAATTTTTAGACTCAGTTTTGCCAGATATTCCTGGAAATAGTTATTTCATTGTTAGACGTTTATACTATATTTAAGTTATGAAAGCTTATCTATCTACCAAAGGACACCATTTTCATGATTTATGAAAGCAAACTGTATAGCTGATGCAAACAGGATGCAGTTTACTGCACTGCTAGATCCCAGATATAGAGTAATTAATCTATGCATGCAAGCCAGAAAAAAATGTTGGTTAACTATAAATACCTTTCTTGACTCAAACTAAAACCTCCCCTCCTCCCAAAAGAAATGTTCCATTTTTCAACTGTGTGTGTGTAATGTTTTTTTTTAAGTGTGGGAGAATGTGTGAGTGTGCAAAATACTTTCATCCAGTCTTCAAAAGAAGAAAATAATCAGTCCTCAGTGTTACATATTGTTTGTTCTAAATTAATTTTCTTTTTTCTTTTTTTATTTTTTAATCTGGAAGAAAGTTTACGTTTAAGCTGTTTCACATATAGAATGACTTTATGATAAATTCGTAGCTTGAAATACCTGGGGAGGGGGAATATGTAGAGTTTGCAGATTTGGGGGAGAATAAAATTTGGGTTGAGCCTGTGCTGAATGGGTAATGATGGTCATTTTTGTTTATATAAATACTATTCTGGCCTGCTGTCATTTTGACTAGACCTCTTGATTTCAGTGATGACAACTTAAGAAACAGATGTCATGTTTCATACCTTTTTTATCAGGAAAAAAGCAGCAAGCCTTCAGGTGTTCCAGTGATGCCTAACACATATTGAGCTGGACTTTTGCTGTACTTTACAATAGGTGTGTTGAATTGTTTTGGGGGAACTGTGTATGGACTGGCAACTAAGACAATGAACCTCAACTTATACTGGATGGCTCCTTAGTCAATAGATGAACTAATGGCAGCTAAATTGCTACTAAGGAATAGTTTCTTCATGCTGAAGCTCTGAAATCCAGTTGTTCGTTCTGTTCCTCAACAAACTCGCAAGTCTGAAATTGAGCAGTCTCTCTCAGAAGATGTAACTTCTGACACATGCAAAATGCTATTGTGAGTTCATTCACCCTCAGGATCTGTGTTGTATTGGCTGTTTTTAATCAGATAATTTTTCAACAAAAGACTGCTTTAAGTTCTTTCCTGAACTCAGCTGGGCAAGCAGTCCTCTTCAGCTGAATGTGTAACTGCAGGAGTGTCACACCTCGCTGGCAAGGAACGTGTTGCATGTCACCACTGTACCTTGGAGAAGCTCCACTCCTTACCTCCTCCTGTTGATCCTGTTTGCTCCTGTCTGTTCCTCACTTGTGCATCCACTCAATGGTGCTGTGCTGTGTGTCAGGAGATAATGCAGATGTATTGCTGTTCTGCTAGTATAATTTGTATTCAAGTATGCTGATGAAATAATGAAATCACCTAAGCAATTTCTGTTCATTACAGTGTTTATTAATTATATCAGATGAAATATAATCCCAGTAAAAACTAATTAATGTTGTCAGTTGTGAAATGATGAGCATCAAATAGAAACGTGTTCAGAGAGCCCACAGTGTGCGGCTTGGCGCTCTGGATGTAGGAGGGAGATCAGAAGTGCACTGCTGGTGTTTCCTAATTCTGCTTTATTTTATATCTGGCTAGAGTTTACTGGAGCCATGCAGTGAAGGGAAAAAAAAAAAAAAAGAGGAGATTCAAGGTGACCAGAAATGGAATTTTCAAATACTTCTGTTCTTCCTATGTATACTCTGCAGAATGCATTGTGCTTTTTTCAACACTTTTTTTTTTCATGAGAAACACTGAAACAGCATGTTAATGCCTAAACTTTATTAGTACCTATGGGAAAACTGGCATTTTCCCCCCATAGTATGAAAACATTACTTGTATGGTAAATTGCTTATTTTATATTATATATCATAATTCAGCTATTCATAAGCTAGGATCACTGTTGTGTGTTAACACTGTTCAGAAGACCGACATGTCAAGTTTAGGTTTTAATAATTTCTTTTAATTATCAAGTTTCTAATGTCTTATTTATACATAAATGAAATGTATTAGCTTGCTATTATTCCTTAATTATGCTATAAAGTTCACTGTTTAAGATACATATAGTAACTACTATTCATTTTCTTGATTAAATTTACTTAAACTTTAAAACCAAATAATTTTGCTACTATAAAGTCTTGCACTGGACAGATTCAAGATGCTAGCACCATATTTTGGCAGAAAAAAAATCACATACCATCAGAAGCAGCTAACTTTGGTATCAAAGATGGTATTTTTAAAATCAGCACTTAGCTTTGTCATTAAAGCAATGCTCTTTATATCTTGGATTTAGTTTAAAGTAATCAAATTAACTAGAGCCATTAAGGATCTCTCTTCTGAATGAATATGTTTTCATTTTGTCTGAAGGATCTTAATGTTCAGTCAGGACAAAACCAAGCCTTGTCAGTGAAAAGTGATGTATCTGTGAAGAGAATTACCTGGAACTACAATACACCGAGTAATTCAGATGAGAATTTAACTCCCTTCCCCATTTTGAAGAGCTTTAAAAGGCAGAGCAATGTGAAGTCATTTGTGCAATGGTTTCATTAGCTGTGGCTCTGCTGTTCTTTGTTACATGTATAATAATGTTTCATGCTCCCCTTAGAGTTGACAGTTAAAGCAGCTGATAACAATCATAAATACTTGGAACTGCAAACTTCATTTCTGATTACAAAAAGTTTATTCTTCTCTATTTTAATGCATATATTTTAACACCGCTAAATATATTTATGACTTTAGTAGAGACTAGACCTTTCTCCTTGTGATTTTTCTTTGAAATAGAAGAATCTGTATTCTGAAATTTGAACCACTTTCTGTTCCTTCAATCTTGCATCATTTGCTTTTCCACAGGTTTACTTTGGGGGTAACAGTAATCTGTTAAATAACTAGTATCAGCACCCTGTCCTCTGCTGTAAAAAGCCTGATTAGATACTGTGTATGTTTTTATGTCCATGAACTTGAGCTACTCGTGTGCAATTATGTGTATGGGAATGGAGTAGTGTTCATGATCTGTATTTACATCATCATATGGATGTATATTTATTAATAAAGTTAATACTTTAAAACTTAACGTTTTTCCTTGCTTTTTTTTAATACCTTTAAAATTCTGCCTGAAGATGCCAGTTGACAACATTACCTGCTTGTTACAGACATGTTACATATATTTGCATTGAGACAAAAAGACTGTGAGTTGCAAGGTGTCAGGAGATAGAGGAATGTTGCTTATTTTTTAATGAATTGAAAACAATGTGACAGTAACTTAATGGTACTTGTCGTTTTGCTGAAAGTGGAGAAAAGGAGAGGAAAGGAGCTATAACCCTGTATGGATAAATAGTCAGCTGCTAACTTTTCCCTCTGTTGCACATGGAAATCAAATTGAAAGTACTCATAAATAAAATTTTCGTGGAATGGTGATAATAGTTCATTATTCTGTCATGAATAAGATATATTTATCCCTGTATTCCAGGGATATTTGTGCTATGGCAGGAAGGAGATTATGTTAGAATTAAATTCACAGTAAGAAATTGTCTTCAAGTTGAAAATGCTGTTTTGACTAAAACATAAGGAGAAGAGGGAATGGGGCAGCTTGTTCTTTGCTAGTCTGCACCAGTTTGGATTCCCTTTGTGCTTTTGCTTTCAGGCTTGCTCCATTATCAGCTGATCTAATTAAATGTTTTCCCTCTATGTGCAAACCTCATGTTTTCTATTTTTAGACTATTATGTCCTCATTATTAGTGCTTATGCAAATTGGACTTTGAAAGAAAAATCTTCAAGTGAGAAAATGTATGCTGTAAGGAATGACACAGTTGGAGAAGTACACCTGAGTAAAAACAAAGCTAAAAATCCAGTTTCTGTAATAAATGACCTGCATCTTCATTTACACACGTCCTTGCTATTTCCTGCCCTTTTCCCGTGTGCATGGTTCATGCTCCCCTCAGTCATGACTATCGGTTTTTGACAGATGCAGAGTTTTGGTAAAATCTTGTGCACTGCTGGCAGTTTTAAACACGTGTGTTAAAAAAGATAGCAGCAGTTGAAGTAATGTGTTCGTTTTCAAATGTCCCATATAGTCTTGAGGTTTCATTATTAAATGAAATAAAGTAAAAACTAATTCTGCAAAAGGAAAAATACAATTTCCTAAAAAGGAATACAGGAGTATTTATCTTGCCTTTCTGCTTGGGAGCTTTTGTTGATAAGCTGCTGGACAAGAACTCTTCATTTTTGTTTAAAAAATACGCTTTTAGTTTGCCACATTTTAGCCGTACCCCAGCCTGCTGTAGGTTAAGGAGCAGTTTGTGTGCAAACTCCCGGCCGGGAGAGGGTGGGAGCAGGCAAAAGCTGCGGCTCTGGGGCAGTGCTGGGGCTGCGATGCTTGTACCCGAGCAGGCTTTGGGATGAGCTCCAGGCGCTCACTGCTCAGTCACAGCAGCCTGCCGAAGCCATGGGATCGCACTTGTCTCGTTGCAAGAATTTCCGACCAGGGCTAATTTAAATCAGCGGTGAAGTGCCCCCAGCAGCATCAGCGGCCCGACAGCCGGCCCGGGCAGCGGCCGCGGTCACCGTGCGGGCCCAGCCCTGCAAGGCGGCCTCACAGAGCCGTGGCATGGTTTGGGTTTCAAGGGACCTTAAAGAACATCTTGTTCCACACCCCTGCCGTGGGCAGGGACACCTTGCACTAAGCCAGATTGCTCCAAGTGTCCAACCTGGCCTTGGACACTTCCAGGGATGCGGGGGCAACCACAGCTTCTCTGGGCAACCTGGGCCAGGGGCACACCACGCTAACAGTAATTTTCTGAAAATAATTTTGGTAAAGATTTTTTTCCTAATATCTAATCTAAATAATTCTTCATTGTCCCGTCACAACATGCGCTTGTAAATAGTCTTGTCCCATCCTTCCTATAAATTCCCTTCAGGTGCTGGGGGGCCGTAATTGGTCACCCGAAGCCTTCTCTTTTCCAGGCCGAACACTCCCAGTTCGGGGCTCGGCAGGGCCGCGAGAAAACTCGGTTAAACCCCCCCGCTTTGTACCAACACGAGCAGGGCTCAGCCCCGCTCCGCTGTCCCACCACCACCCTCACGCCCCGAGGGCTCTTCCCACGGAAATACGAAGGGCAGCGGAACTGGAAGTGTCCCGGGGATCCGGCGGAAGCGCTCGTTGTCCGGGGAGACGCGACGGCGGCCGCCGGGCCGGGGCTGTGGGTGAGGATGTGGCGGCTGCTGCTGGCGCTGGCCTGGCTCGGTGCGAGCCTTCCCGCAGGTGCGGCCGGGGGGCTCCGGGTGCGCGGTGGCGGGGCGGGCGCGGCGCGGCGCTCACACCTCCCTCCGTGCCTCTGTGCCCGCAGGAGCGGCGGCGGAGCGGAGCGCCGAGCCGGTGCGCTACCGCACGGCCGAGATGGCGGACGCGATGCTGGGCAGCGGGGCCCTGGCCGAGCCGCCCGTGCTGCTGTCGGCGGTGCCGGCCGAGGCGAGCGGCGGCCCGGAGGAGGCTTGCGATGGGGCGGCGGCGGGCGATGCGTGCGGGCCGGCGGGGAGCGGCCCCGCGGCCGGCCCGGGCCGGGAGCGGCCCGTGCTGGAGCCCGTGCTGCCCGCGCCCGCTGAGGAGCAGAACGGCACCGAGGGCGCCAAGGCCCCCAAGGTGAACTGCGAGGAGAGGAACACGACGGGCATCGAGCGCTTCACGCTGCAGATCCTGAACGTGTCCCAGGTACGGGGCTCGCTGCCCACTGCTGGTGTGAAGGCGTGAGGCTGCCCGTCAGCCTGCTGCTTTCTGTGCTTGACTTAGTGAGTTTCCCTGTCTACCGAAGAAAACAGATGACTGGGCAGGGAGGGGTTCTGGGCCATTCTGAGCAGGGAAAAAAATGCAGTTACAGCTTGCTTCATGTGCCTCTGTGTGTTATCTCTGTGTCTGCAGGGTGCTGCCAGCTTTCCTGCTCTGTGGACTGGCGTTTCTCTTGGAAATCGTTAATAGCAATTAGTACCATTTTTCTTGTAATGGTTATGTGTATGTATATTTTTAAGTAATACACTTTTAAAACGACCTTTAAAAAAGGTTATATACAATTCTCCACCTGTTCTAAAAGATGTGGCTGCTTGATCAGTATTGCCAGGTATCTAATCGATTGCTGAATGCTGCATCCCCACACAGAATTAACTCTTTTAAATACATAAGTGTCCATGTTTGTTCTCATGCTTCCTCCAAGGACCTGATGGAGTTCCTGAACCCAAACAGCAGTGACTGTACACTGGTCCTGTTCTACACACCGTGGTGCCGCTTTTCTGCCAGCCTGGCACCTCATTTTAACTCTTTGCCCCGAGCTTTTCCAACTCTTCGCTTCCTGGCACTGGATGCATCCCAGCACAGCAGGTAACTCACGCTCCCTGTGCTCTAGCTGCAGTTCATTTCTGTTAGCTTTGAGTTTTAAAAACAGGAGCGACTTTTTTTTCTACGTAAACTGACAATTTTATTTAGTGAAACTGACACTTTTGGTATTGTGACTGTCTTTATTTCTTCCTCCATAAGATTTAATTTCCTTCATGCTTTGTTTTTCCTTTCTGTAGTTTATCAACTAGATTTGGAACTGTGGCTGTACCAAATATCCTCCTTTTCCAAGGTGCTAAACCTATGGCTAGATTTAATCACACAGACAGAACGCTGGAAACCCTGAAAGACTTCATCTTTAACCAGACAGGTGTGTAAATCAGGCCTGGTTTGCCAGTGGGAAGAACAGGCTGGCTTTAAGGTCCAAATTGGGCCTTCCTGTCCCTGTGTGTGTTCTTTAAAATGAATGTCATAAAGACCCTGTGAAAACTCAGCAGAGGTTCACTTGATCAGTTGTTGCTGTGAGCTGGATTTCAGCCTGTGCTGAGAGCAGAAATTCAGCTCCTTGGGCTGCTGTCACAGAGCAGGGGGAACAGTGGGGTTTAGCTAGAGAGGCTGCCAGAAGGATGGAGCATATCTTCCTGCCCAAAGATTTAATTGAGAATGAAATAAATTAAACTCTCTTTGCCACCCAGCTAGTTGTCTTCTAATCCACACTGAAGTGCTATTTGGATCTGCATTTCCAGAAACGCACAAAAATGATATTCCTGAAACACTCTAAATTAAATTTCCATGCGCTGAAAAAAACTCTCACAACTTATCCAAGGCTGTGCTGTGGGAGGACAGAACAAGCCTTCTCCTGTTATGCAAATACACATAAAAATCACTAAGCTTTTATATCAGTAAATCATATCCTGGGTGTATGTTAATGTACAAGGGCTATCTCACCAAAATTTTAAGTCTGCCTGTGTTTGAGCTTAGTCTGAGAGCAGGAACAAAGTTCCAGATAGACTAAAAAGCTCCACAAAGCTCCACAAAGCTCCAGAGGGCCACAGCCTCTCTGTATTTGGCGACTACGATGTTGACCAAGTACTTTGTTTTTTAGGGATAGAAGCTAGAAGCGATGTGGCTGTGACAGAGGAAGACTGGGAAGGGCCCCTGCCAAGTGTCCTGACGAAGGGCATAGACTGGCTGCTCCTGTTCTCTGTGCTCTTCCTGGCTGGCTTTGTCCTGTACGCCACCATTCGCACCGACAGCATCCGCTGGCTCATCCCGGGACAGGAGCACGAACACCAGGAATAACCTCAGATTTCAAACAGGGACAACATTTTGCACTTATTGGTAAAGTGGGAATTTCTATGGACTAGAAGTACCTAAGAATGAACTGTTGAATTTGTTGGTTGTAATTTATAATAATGACTAAAAATTGGCTTTATTTATGAACTGCTGAATCTGTGACAAGCACATTTGTGGCGATTCCAGTGGTAAGTGAACAAGTATGAAAAAACATGAACTAAAGTATTTATTAAGCTGCTCTGATTGACTTCTTTTTAATGGACTTCGATGTAATTAGGGTTACAGTTCTAATTTGTAGATCAGGGAAGAATTTTACAGCATATTGGTCTGTGCGTGACACTGCAAGGCAAATGCTGGTGAAGGGAGGTGTTGGTACATTAGTTTGACTGTCCATAAAATAAACTATGAAGATGTTTTAAATGATTTTTCACTCCCATGGAGGTGAGTGTTTCCACCTCTGGCACTGGGGTTCAGTGCTGGTTTTCTCATCCACTTTGCTCTGAGTTTTGACTTAGCAACAGTTCTTTATGAGATTTAGAGTCACTTCCCAAGCTCATCTCACTATTTCTGTGAGTGTATACAACTTATTTACAACATTCCTGTTGGATAAAATTGTATTAATTGTCCTTTAAAAAATAAATAAATCAGGTTTTTAGTATAACCTTTTAAGTCCCTTTCTTTCAGAAGTAAAAACATGCAATTTCTGAACTACGGCTCACGTGCCTAAATTAGCAAGACCAGTCTTGATGTTTATGTAAATTTCTAGTAAATTTCTAGTTCCACACTCTCCACTTGAGGCTACAAAAAGAATTTATGGGGTTTTTTTAGTTATGATTAGTATGGAGGGCTTTGGATAAGGTATGGACTGGTATGTTGTGTGGGGTTTGAATCATATGATTGCATAAAATTTATCATGGTGGAGGCTTGCCAAAGTATCCTAATAGGGTGGTTTAGAGAGCAAATTAAACTAACATAAAACAAATCAGTCTTAAGACTTATTGTTTGACAGATAGCTCAGATCCCTGCAATGTAATTCTTCATGAATTTCTCTGCTGGCTCTATCTTTTCCTCTGGAAACCAGAGGCTGTGTGTAGCTGTGTCCAAAAAGGAAACTGCACTGGTGAAAGTTCGGTGTTACTGAAGATAAAGCTGGGATGGATGTTATTAATAAAGATTGTGAACGACAAATCGGAGCATTCTTGCCTCTGCCATCTGGTTCGTCTGAGAGGCCCAGGGTTGGATTGTCCCCAGTGCTCATGCCCACACCGCTAAAGAAACAGGGATGTGTTTACAAACAGATGTGTTTACAAGCAGAACGGGGCTGTTTCAGTGCGGCCCCGTGGGCTGGAAATGACACCTGCCCGCTCACTGAGTGACAGAATCCACCCGCGGCGGCAGCTCTGCCCGGCCATTCTCCTCCCGGGTGGGTGTCACAAATCACGGAATCATCAAGGTCAGAAGAGACCTTTCAGACCGTCCAGACCAACCCTCCACCAGCACCGTAACCCCTAAACCCCATCGCCCATCGCCCAGCGCCCATCCCGGCGCCTGTGGAACCCCTCCGGGGCTGGGACTGCACCGCTCCCCGGGCAGCACGGGGTCCAGAGCCCGGCTGGATGACCCGAGGCAGAAAAGGTTTTCCTGAATATCTCATCTGAACGCTCCAATCTCAGCTTTAGGCCGGTTCTGCTCCTCTCACTGCAGGCACGGCAGAATAGATCGGTGTCCCCCGCTCCACCTCCTTCCAGGGGACTACACACAGCGATGCGGGGCCGGAGCCTCCTCGTTCCTTTGCCGGTGCCACCCGCGGCCCCGGGCGGCCGTGGCGGCGGGGGCGGCTCTCCTTCCTCCGCCGCTCCGCGCGCCCCGGTGCCGCGCGGCTCCTCCCGCGGGGCG